AAAGAAAGCACCCAGTGAGTCTGGATGCTCTCTTTCGAAGAAGCCCTATTTACATTCAAGAACGCCTTCTTTCGAAAGAGGAACTTTCGAAAGAAGGCGTTCTTCCTCGTGCAATGAGGTTTACCGCCGTCGAAAGAAAAGCCGCGTTCTTTCGATTTAATTTCGAAAGAACGCGGCTGCAGTCTAGGTGAAGTTTTTTCGAAAAAAGGCTACTTTTTTCGAAAAAACCCCTGAGTCTGGACACAGCCCTAGTGGAAGCCACAGCCCCAAGCCAGGCGCCCAGAGCGAGACTCACACAGGAACTGAGCGTCCCAACACCTGACTTCCAGCCCGCCCCTGAGCTCACACTGCAGGGTTAGGGGCCCTGTTCAGTGTGGGGTGGCACCTCCGAATGGAATTCCCAAGGGCCAGCTGGCTGAAGCTATGTCTAGACTGCAGGCTTCTTTCGGAAGAACCTTTTTTTGGATGAGGTCTTCCGAAAAAACGTCTTCCGAAAGAGAGCATCCACACACAAAAGCACATCGAAAAGGCGATCTGCTTTTTCAAACGATAGCAGCCACACTGAATGGAAGAAAAAAAAAAGGAAAACAAAAAAGGTCACTGTGCCTTTAAGAAGCCCCACACTCCTCGCTTCCCCCCGCCCTTGCCAGAAGCAGCCAGGGAACAATGTCCCCACTGGCCTTCCGTCCCAGAAAAACAGAAAATACGGTATTTTCTGGTTTTTTTTAAACAAACAGGAGCCAGAAATAACGCACTGACCGGGCAAAAAACCAGACACCTGGCAATCCTACTTCTAAACCTGCTGCTTGTTCATTTCATTGCATGACCCCCTAGTCCTGGCACAGTGGGAAGGCAAGAGAATTGCAGCTGGATGGGGCCACCCAGGCACAACCAGCAGGGAATGCCCCGTTGGGGGCTGCCTGGAGATGACACAACCCATGGGGGGGGAGGGGTGATCTCCAAGCTCCTCTGCCGAGCAGTTGGCCTCACTGAAACACAGACACAAAATGACAGGCCCAGATGCCCCCTGGTGCTTCACATGCTCTGCCGACAGCCCCCTGAGGACCCTGCATGGGGTTAGGTGGGCGACAGGTGAGCAGGCGCCTGCAGGGTGCACGTCCAGCAGCAGAAACATCTGCAGCCAGGGGACTTTTCTAGTGAGAATGGAGGCGCTGCGGGAATTTGGTCCCCTAAAGAGTTAGGGGGCAGGGCAAGCGGGGGTTTGCGTGAGCACCTACACGTCAGCTTCAGGCAGCAGATGTGGCACTTTGGGTCCAGGCCTTCCAAAGGATTTGGGTGGCTAGACCCTCCCGTGGAGGCGAGAAGCTTCCGTTCCTTCAGGGCTCTGGCCCAAGTCCCTGGGGCTATGTCTACACGATGAGTTTTCTCAGCAGAAAATATGCAAATGAGGGCCTCATTTGCATGTGTCACAATCTCATTTGCATGAGTCACAAACTCATTTACATATTTTCTGCTGATCCGTTTTTGCGCAGAAAACCCTCTTTTTCCGCAAGATCCTTATGACCTGAAAAAGGAAGTATACTGATCTTGTAGAAAAAGGGGTTTTTTTTGCACAAAAAGAAAACATTCACACTGCTTGTTTTTGCACAAAAACCTCAGCGCAAAAGTGGATCGGCAGAAAATATGCAAATGAGATCGCAACTCATGCAAATGAGATCGTGACACATGCAAATGAGTCCCTCATTTGCATATTTTTTCCCGAGACAACTCGTAGTGTAGACCTAGCATGTGTGTATGGAGCCCTGACTCCCATTGATTTCAATAGGACGCAGGATCCCAGGCACCACTGGGTGTCTCCCTGCACCTTTAGGTGCCTAAAAGCCTTTGAGAGTGTGGCCCAAGGCACTAAAGAGGCTCAGGCTGTCTTCACTATGGGCTGTACTGACAGACAGTGATGGATTCAGCAGGGGTTGATTTAGCATGTCTAGCACAGACTTAATAAATCAACTGCGGAACACTCTCTTGCCGACTCCGGTACTCCCCCACAACGAGAGCCGCTAGGAGGGTGCCCGCCCTTGATTCGCCACAGTGGATACGCCACGGTAAGTAGTGCTACGCATGTCCCCTTCAGCAACACTATTCATCTAACTAGCTGAAGTTGCGTAACCTAGGCCAGCAGCCTGTGGCAGCGTAGACTAGGCCTACGTGTCATTTGTTTTCAGTGGGGTTCAAGGGCTCTTTTGGAGATTTTTATCCCTTGTCTCACAAATGGTGATAATTTGCAACAACGCACCAAAAACTGGCACTGAGAAATGCTTGCCAGACAAGTTACATGCCCGTTATCTCTGGTCTGGGCCGCTCGTGCAGATAATGGAGGTGTGTGTTTGGTTGCACAAATGAGTTACTCCTGGTAACCTCACACATGGCTCATTCCCAGAGCACTGCAATGGCTCCATGAATGTATAAACTAGAACTTGCTTTGGGTGCCTTTTATAGCAGTTTCTCTGTCTCCCTCTGAGTTTCTTTTCTTTGTGTTCTGCTCACAGCCCAGTTTAGTGTCATTGGACCGGACCAGCCAGTCACAGCCATTGTGGGGGAGGCCACTGTGTTACCCTGCCACCTGTCCCCCCAGATGAGCGCTGAGAACATGGAGGTGAGGTGGATCCGGTCCCAGCACTCTGCAGCCGTGCACCTGTACAGAGATGGGCAGGAACAGACAGAAGACCAGAACCCAGAGTATCAGGGAAGGACAGAGTTTCTGAGAGACAGCCTCACTGAGGGAAATGTGTCACTGAGGATACGCAACATCAGGCCCTCTGATGAGGGGCAATATCGGTGTTTTGTTCAGTCCTTGACATTTTATAATGAAGCCACATTGGAGCTGAAAGTAGCAGGTCAGTTGGTTATGTTTGTATTTTTTTTTGCAATGGCAGATAGTGGGTCTCATTTGCATGTTGCATCCTAGAAATAATGCTTTCTTTCTTTCTTTCTTTCTTTCTTTCTTTCTTTCTTTCTTTCTTTCTTTCTTTCTTTCTCACATATCCACTAAAAGGGACATCTCTCTCTAGCTCTAGGAACTCTGTGAAAATTCCATACACATACAACTATAAAGCAGACTATTTCTAGAATCCGCCTTCAAACACAAATCAGGGTATGTCTACACTACCCTCCTAGTTCGAACTAGGAGGGTAATGTAGGCATACCGCACTTGCAAATGAAGCCCGGGATTTGAATTTCCCGGGCTTCATTTGCATAAACTGGGCACCGCCATTTTTAAATCCCTGCTCGTTCGAACCCCGTGCCGCGCGGCTACACGCGGCACGAACTAGGTAGTTCGGACTAGGCTTCCTAGTCCGAACTACCGTTACTCCTCATTCCACAAATTCAAATCCCGGGCTTCATTTGCAGGTGCGGTATGCCTACATTACCCCGCTAGTTCGAACTAGCGGGGTAGTGTAGACATACCCTCAGTGTATCAATGACTACCGACAATAACCCAACAGCAAATTAAGTCCAGAGGAAGAAAGGACCCTTGTAGCACATCATGAGGTGAGCAAGTTCCACATCTGGGAGTGATCTCACTAATATAATTTGGGCTTCAACTCTAGCAGCTCTGCTAATTGTAACTGACAGTGTGGTTTAGTAAATTCAAAATAATCTTCTAGGGTAGACATGGCCTAACTAAAGTCAAAGGCTGGAATTTTAGATTACCCTGCAGAGACATGATATCAAGATCTGGAGCCATGGATCCTGTGTTCTTACTCCTTAAGCCACCAGGCTACGTCTACACTGGCCCCTTTTTCGGAAGGGGCATGCTAATTTTGAAAGTGGGAATAGGGAAATCCGTGGGGGATTTAAATATCCCCCGCGGATTTAAATAAACATGTCTGCCGCTTTTTTTCCGGCTTGGGGAAAAGCCGGAAAAAAAGCATCTAGACTGGCCCGATCCTCCGGAATAAAGCCCTATTCCGGAGGATCTCTTATTCCTACTTTGAAGTAGGAATAAGAGATCCTCCGGAATAGGGCTTTATTCCGGAGGATCGGGCCAGTCTAGATGCTTTTTTTCCGGCTTTTCCCCAAGCCGGAAAAAAAGCGGCAGACATGTTTATTTAAATCCGCGGGGGATATTTAAATCCCCCACGGATTTCCCTATTCCCACTTTCAAAATTAGCATGCCCCTTCCGAAAAAGGGGCCAGTGTAGACGTAGCCTGGTGGCTTAAGGAGTAAGAACACAGGATCCATGGCTCCAGATCTTGATATCATGTCTCTGCAGGGTAATCTAAAATTCCAGCCTTTGACTTTAGTTAGGCCATGTCTACCCTAGAAGATTATTTTGAATTTACTAAATTTGACTTCTGGGCACCCAATTTTACAAATTCGAACTTCCATGTCTTCACTACAGGGAAGAATTGAATGGAGTCCGAGGCAGGCTCTGTTAATGTGGATGTGCTACCTCGGACTCAGAACCCCAGGAAGCCGCCTGGGGATGGACAGTATTAGCTCTTCTCACGATTAGGGAAGGGAGGCACCGAGAATTCAAAATGCTTGCTAATGTGGGGTGCCCAGTTCAAGATACAAAGGAGATGATTTTCCAGAGCATTTAGGGTACATCTACACTGCATGGATATTTCAGGATATCTCCAGTATCCTAAAATAGCCACCCCACGTCTACACAAGCCACCCATTATTTTGAAATATTTTTCGAAATAGTGGGCATGCTATTTCGCCATCCTGGTAATCTTTGTTGCACGAGGGTTAAGGGACAGCTTGAAATAATGTGTTATTTTGGCGCTGTGTGGACATGCCAAATTTCAAAATAAGCTATTTCGAAATGGATTCAAGATAAGATACGCAATTTGCATAGTGCAAATTGCGTCTCTTATTTCGAGTTTAGGGTGCTGTGTAGACGCACCCTTAGCATTACATAGAACTCTGCCTGTTCAGTGCACAGCTCCCATTGACCGCACTGCAGCTGTGACTGCCCAGCTGCTGCAAATCAGACCTCAGGGGCTCACGTCAGACACCCAGAAAAGGAGCAACACAAAAGTCGTAGCCACCTGTGAAAGGTTTGGATGAAGTGACTTGACTAGGACCATGCAAGAACGCTGTGGCAGAGGGAGGCAACCACCCCTTACCTTTCTGTGTCTCTGGTCCCTAACTGTCAGAAGAGATAATACCATCCCTCTCCGCCAGGGGATGGTGAAAACAAACATGTGCCTCCTTCACTACGTACCGTCCAAGAGACAGACCCCGGCGCGCCTCCACATCAGGTGCATCAAGCTGCAACCCCTCTCCCGGTTCCTCCAGAACCGTTGGCTTCAGCAGCCTCCCCTGGCACTGGCCAAGACAGCCGCTTGTCACACCATGTGGAGGAAGCTGGATGGGGGCAGTGTGCTCTGTGACCCTGCTTTTTTTCATCTGTTGTCACCAGTATTCATTTGTCACTCATCTCTGCTATCCCTCCCCGTTGGAGGAGAGGCAGGCCTTTAGCTACAGCCATTCCTCCGGTGCCACAATGGGTACTCACCTTCCAAGAAGGAGACACTGGCAGGTAGGGTGTGGGAGGGAACTGCCCCTCTTCCAGCTCCTTTAGAGCCTCCTACTGGGTTTCTGGCTGCAATTTTCCCCGCACCTCCGATCCTGCAATGCCTCATTCTTTCCCCATAAAACACCAGGACTTCCTGGTCAGCCTCTTCCTCGCACTGGTCTAGGCACCCATCTATCATACCAGGTGGGGAGAAAGCTGGACCAAGTGTGCTCTGCAGCTGTGGGGCCTATTTCTGATCCCTTGTTTGGTCATGAGTTCTTCCGGACAGTGTCCACGGCTTTCTAGGACACCCTGATTCTATAGAGCAGATTGGACAGACATCTATCAGGGATGATCTAGATGGTCCTGCTGTGAGGGTCCAGACTCAAGGGCCCTTCCAGTTCTAGTGTTCTGTGGTTCTATCATGTACTGGGTTCATGAGCGCGGGGAATTCAGACTCAGAATCAGTGTTTTCTGTAAGGTGCGCACCCGCGCAGCTGCGCACAAAAGTTTCTAGGCCTACCCACTTTCTTTGCAGAGCTGTGCAGCAGCCCTCACCTTCCTGCTAGACCTGGAAGGTGGGTGGTGTGGCTGCTCCCACGGCCAGAGCTGTGTGGTGGGCAGGGGCGGGGCCACAGGCTCCTCTGGTGGCCAAGGCTGTGTTGGGGGCCAGCTGCTCTGGCTGCCACCGGGGCTGAGGCCGCATGAACCGCTGCTGCCAGGTTTTGGGGCCACAGGTGGGCGGCTGCTGTTGGGGTTTGAGCGCTAGGTCTGCCAAGCTCAGACACAGGGTAGGGGAGGGGGGAGACGGAAACTGGATAGCCCCCTCCTCCAGCAAGGCACTGGTAAAGTGTGCCCAACTGCACAACACTGATTATACACTTAATTGGCCAAATGCACAGACAACATTTTTCACAACTGGGTGGTTGGTTTCGTTCGTCAGACACACGGTTCTGCACGGCATTTTACAGATACCAAGCTCAGACACAGGGTAGGGGAGGGGGGAGACGGAAACTGGATAGCCCCCTCCTCCAGCAAGGCACTGGTAAAGTGTGCCCAACTGCACAACACTGATTATACACTTAATTGGCCAAATGCACAGACAACATTTTTCACAACTGGGTGGTTGGTTTCGTTCGTCAGACACACGGTTCTGCACGGCATTTTACAGATACCTGCATCACATGGAGGGGCCTTTAGAATGCCACATAGGGGCAGGGTCTGCAAACACGGATCAGATGGCTGGGTTAGGGAGCCCATGGCTCAGTCTATCACTATATGTTACCCAGCCTGTAGCCCCACGAACAGCCCCACAACATTAAAAACTCTTCACCGCAATAGGCAAAGCGCCTGTTGTTCAGAATTCACCATAGTTAAGATTAACTGAGGTTGTAGGGGGCCCACAAGCCTAAATGTGTCATTTAAATTATTACATTCTGCCACACCCACTATTTAAACATTATCACCTCCCTGATATTCCCTTCCCAGCATTCTACTATTTAAAGAGATTCTCCAGAGTCAGGCACTACGGGCTAATGTTTGTAAAACAACATTGACAAACACTGTTTATTATCTTCAGTGGGGTAGCCAAGTCAAATGCCAGCAATGCCCCACTGCAATGTATATTGGCCAAACTGAACAATCTCTATGGGAAAGAATTAATGCACACGTATCAGATATCCGAAAAGGCAACACACAAAAACCTGTTGGAGAACACTTTAATCTTCCTGGACACTCATTAATGGATTTCCAAGTTGCCGTTTTGTTTCAGACCAGTTCCACATGCTAAATACAGAGATTGGAACTTAACTTTATTCACAAGTTTAATTCTTATGCTAATGGTCTAAACCAGGATATTGGATGGCTCGCACACTATCTTCCACCTTTTAATAACTTAACCACCCAACCAAACAATGGAGGTGCTAATGGTTCTTAACAGACTCTTGTAACTATTTGAACTATCTACTCATCATCTACATGTTTTGTTAGTCTTTCAAGTGCTACTAGACTAGTTGTTTTTTAAGTTTTATCTACTCACTGTCTCTCTTTTTCTTACTCCCCTCCCTTTTTTCTCCCCTCCCCCCCTTTCCCTTATTTATTCTTGGATCTGGACTCATTATACTCCTGTCATCTGAAGAAGTGGGCTGTGCCCATGAAAGCTCATGATCCCATCTCCATGTTTTGTTAGTCTTTCAAGTATTCGTTGTTTTTCTAGTTTTTACAGTTTATTATGTGACAGTGTCTATATCCTTAGAAGCCTTACTAAACCAGGAAGGGGTAGCTCAGTGGTTTGAGTGTTGGCCTGCTAAACCCAGGGTTGTGAGATCAATCCTTGTGAAGGCCATTTAGGGAGATGGGGCAAAAATTTGTCAGGGATGGTACTTGGTCCTGCTGTGAAGGCAGGGGACTGGACTCAATAACCTTTCATGATCCCTTCCAGTTCTAGGAGATAGGCATCTCCATTAATTCATTTACTGATAAAACAATGAATAACAGGCTTGAGTCTCTTGTACCCTTCAACCATTTCACCCTCCAGTGGCCCAAAGGCACCCTAAAGGCAGGGATCTCACTTCCCTACATGGGTCTTATTCACAGTGCCGGTAGGACTCCCTCCCCTGTTAAAGCTCTTGGAATAGGGGCATTTTGGAGGAAAACTAGTGTGTGCTTATCCTTGGCCTTCTGTGACTTCTATGGAACTGTGGACAATGCAGGTTTGGAGCAGCCTTGAGGCTCATCTGACTGAAAACTTTGCAGTATTAATGTTCTTGTTATTTGACTTCATATTAAACAAGGCTGTCAAGTCCCACACCCTGTGAAGTATCCCTGGTTTTAGTGTTCATTCTTCCATAACATTTTAATATATATTTGTTAATGCTGAATTAACAATTAGTAACAATACTTGTTAATTAACCATTGTTAATTGTTAATATGTATTTATCAATAACTTGAGTGCCATGGCGGCACACGTCCAAACAGGCGCACACGACCGCAACATTGGTGCACAAGGCAAAACTCACTCCGCTTGTGGATGGCAAATCTTAAAGGGAACCCTGCTCAGCAGCCATTTATCGCCTCTCTCCATGGCCTAAAACATGATGGCTGTGTCTACACTGGCGCGATCTTGCGCAAAAGCGGCTGCTCTTGCACAAAAACTTGCTGCCTGTCTACACTGGCCACATGTTCTTGCACAAGTAAACTGACGTTCTAATGTATAAAATCAGGGCTTCTTGCGCCAGAACTCTGACGTTCCCGCTCAGGTATAAGCCCTTTTGCGCAACTGCTCCTGCGCAAGAGGCCAGTGTAGACAGGCAACATGAATTTCTTGCACAAGAAAGCCCGATGGTTAAAATGGCCATCAGAGCTTTCTTGTGCAAGAGAGCGTCTACACTGGCATGGATGCTCTTGTGGAAAAGCACATCTCTTGCGCAAAAGCACATGCCAGTGTAGACGCTCTCTTCTGGAAGAGTTTTTCCAGAAGAACTCTTCCGCAAAAGAGTTTTTGCATGAGAACGCGCCAGTGTAGATGTAGCGTACCTCTGTGTTGAATATTCATATACGTGAGGAGCAGACCACAGTAACAGCTGTGTCCATTCCCTTCCAGCTTTAGGGTCTGAGCTGCAGCTCTCTGTTGAGAGTTACCAGAATGGAGAAATACAGGTGGTTTGTCAGTCCGCTGGTTGGTACCCAGAGCCCCAGGTGCTCTGGAGAGATTCCAGTGGGCAGCAGCTACCATCACTCTCTGAAACATCCCGAGCGGGTAACGGCCTGTTTGAAGCAAAAACGACAATTGTTGTCACCGAAAACTCAAACCAGAAGTTGTCTTGTTGTGTCTGGAACAACCTCCTCAACCAAGAAAAGGGATCAACACTGTCTATATCAGGTCAGTTACAACCAAAGCCACAAACTAGTTATCAACACACACACACACACACACACACACACACACACACACACACACACACATACACAAAACTAGGTAACAATGAAAAGAGTAGATATGCAAATGCAATGAAGAAATTGGACTACGACCTGCGTTCAGGTTCCAGTTTTGCTAGAAACACCCTCCATGACCTTTGTCAAGACATTTTTAAGAACATAAACGTTTGTTATAAGGAGGAGGGAGAAAAAACATTTCTCCTTAACTTGTGACAACAGAACAACAAACAATGGGCTCAAGTTGTACATTAGGAAAAACTTCCTAACTGTCAGGGTGGTTAAACACTGGAATAAATTGCCTGGTGAGGTTGTGGAATCTCTATCACTGCAGATATTTAAGAGCGGGTTAGACAAACACCTGTCAGGGATGGTTCTTGGTCCTGCCGTGAGCACAAGGGACCGGAGCTGATGACCTCTCGAGGTTCCTTCCAGTCCTATTATTCTTTGATTCTAGGTGTACAGATGCCTGAGCCCCAGACTGATGCATGAGTTGCAGGGTGCATGCTCAGAAGCAGACTAATCCGTGTCTAGAGAATTTTTATTGCAAACATTTAATCCCTGAGGGTATGTCTACACTACCCTCCTAATTCGAACTAGGAGGGTAATGTATGCATACCGAAATTGCAAATGAAGCCCGGGATTTGAATTTCCCGGGCTTCATTTGCATAAGCCGGGCGCCGCCATTTTAAAATCCCGGCTAGTTCGAACCCCGTGCCGCGCGGCTACACGTGGCACGGAGTAGCTAGTTCGGATTAGGCTTCTAATCCGAACTAGCTGTACTCCTCGTGGAATGAGGAGTACAGCTAGTTCGGATTAGGAAACCTAATCCGAACTAGCTACTCCGTGCCGCGTGTAGCCGCGCGGCCCGGGGTTCGAATTAGCCGGGATTTAAAAATGGCGGCGCCCGGCTTATGCAAATGAAGCCTGGGAAATTCAAATCCCGGGCTTCATTTGCAAGTGCGGTATGCCTACATTACCCCGCTTGTTCGAATTAGCGGGGTAGTGTAGACATACCCTGAGTGAGTGTAGGTACCCATGGAGTTTAGCAGTAGCTGAGCAGCGATTTTGTGAACTTCAGAAAGGCCTGCTTATGAGATGTAGGCACCTAAAGTGGCAGTTAGATACCTGTGTCCTTATGTGACTCTAGCCCCAGAGGTTTAAAACATTTCCAATGACACGTGTTTTTTCCTGGAGGCTTTTCTGGGCCAAGGACAGAGGGCTGGGCTCAGTTTACCCATAGGCTTTATGGTGTGATAAGAATCTTTGGTGTTACTTCTCTTGTAAATACTTTTGATCAAGTTGTGTTCACCAGTTAGGGTACGTCTGCACTGCATGCATATAATAGTACGCTGCACTGTTATTTTGAAATAACAGGCTGCTTATTTCAAAATCTGTACTCCTGCTTTTCTCGAGGAATAACGTTTATTTTGAAATGGTTATTTCTAAATAGCAGTAGTGTGGACGCTCCGGTGCTGCTATTTTGAAATAACTACTCCCCCGAATAATTCAAAGTAATTACTCCCCAGTGTTTCCTGGGGCTCTTCCTAGGAAGTAGCACGTCCACATGAAGGGAGCCTCCCTCTGACTAATTTCAAGGCTTCCCCATAGTGTGGACACACTATTACAAAATTATTATTTTGGGAATTATTATTTTGAAATAATTTCCTAGGCTGTGTCTACACTGGGCCACTTATTCTGGAAAATCAGCCGCTTTTCCGGAATAAGCTGTGAGCTGTCTACACTGGCCCTTTTCCGGAACACTGTTCCGGAATAAGGAATTATGCCCGAGCGGGAGCAGAATAGTTTTTCCGGAATAGCGGCTGATTTTGTACAGTAGAGCATCGTTGCTTTTCTGGAAATTCAAGGGCCAGTGTAGACAGCTCACAGCTTATTCCGGAAAAGCGGCTGATTTTCCAGAATAAGTGGCCCAGTGTAGACACAGCCTAGGAAATTATTTCAAAATAATAATTCCCAAAATAATAATTTTGTAATAGTGTGTCCACACTATGGGGAAGCCTTGAAATTAGTCAGAGGGAGGCTCCCTTCATGTGGACGTGCTACTTCCTAGGATCGGGGCTTTTTTCCGGAAAAGACTACTGGGCTGTCTACACTGGCCCTTTTCCGGAACACTGTTCCGGAATAAGGAATTATGCCCGAGCGGGAGCAGAATAGTTTTTCCGGAATAGCGGCTGATTTTGTACAGTAGAGCATCGTTGCTTTTCTGGAAATTCAAGGGCCAGTGTAGACAGCTCACAGCTTATTCCGGAAAAGCGGCTGATTTTCCAGAATAAGTGGCCCAGTGTAAACACAGCCCTAATGTAGACATGCCCTGAGTGTGCTGGAAGTGTCCCATACTTAGCTTTTGGTGTCAATGAAGTGTTAAATGTATGGAAGGCTGGCTTTATAATGGGACAGCCAATTAACGTCTATGGTCAAGCCCAGGGAAACAGTGTAAAATTTGCATATGAAGGTCAATTCCAGACTCTCTCTGTAATTGGTTAGTGAAATTCCTATGTAGAATGACTTCTTTTAAATCCATCTTTGAGTGCCCAGGCAGGTTTAAAATGTTCCCCTACACAGGATTCTCTGTGTTACCATTCCTGATGTCTGACTCGTGTCCGCTTATCTTTTGTTGCAGAGACTGTCCAGTTTGGCCAATATACATGGCAGTGGGTCACTGCTGGCATAGATCACATTAGTGGATGTGCGGGTGGATGAGCCTCTGAGGTAGTGGTTAGGCCCTGTGACGGTGTCGCTGGAATAGATGTGTGAACAGAGTTGACAATGGGGTTTGTTGCAGGGGTAGGTTCCTGGGTGAGTGTGTCTGAGGTTTGAGGTGCGGTTGCACGAAAAGATTCGCTTCAGGTTGGTGGGCTGTCTGTAGGCAAGGATTGGCCTGTGAGAAGGAGGGCTTGTTTTCCACGATAGGCTGTAGATTGTCAATGATGCATTGGAGGGGTTTGAGTGGGGGGCTATAGGTGATGACCAGTGGTGTTCTATTATTTTCCTTGTTGGGCCTGTCTTGAAGAAGCAGATTTCTGGCTCTGTCAATCTGTTTCCTTATTTCGGGGCGGGGAATTTCAATTTTAAGAATGCCTCATAAATGTCCGGTAGGTGCGTGTCTCTATCTGTGGGAGCAAATTGGGTTGTATCTTCAGGCCTATCTGTAAACAATGGATCGTGTCATGTGTCCTAGATGGAAGTTAGGGTCATGGAGGTAAGAAAAGCCATCGGTAGGTTTCTGTGGTAGGATGGCGTTAATGTGGCCATCGTATAATTGAACTGCAGTGTCCAGGAAGTGGGTCTCTTGTGTGGACGGGTCCAGGCTGAGGTTGATGATGGGGTGGATATTGCTGAAATCCCTGTGGAATTCTGAGGTATTTCTTTGTTATCGAATCATTTGACTTTGGAAGGAGGGGCCAAGTAACGCAAGTGTTTTTGTTTTTGCAGGTGCTTTTTTCCCAAAATTCTCCATGTGGGTCGTGACTCTGTGTATGATCCTGCTGGTTTCGTTTGTTTGCATTGGCCTCCTTGCTCATCTCTTCAGAATGAAAGGTAACTCATTAAACAATAAAATACAGAGTAATAAAAAAAAAAAAAAAAGACAGCTCAATATTGTTGCCTGAGACTAGAAGGAAGTTGTACCGACTAGGGAGGGCCCTGGAGTGGGGCTTGTTAGACCAGGGTTCAGTTCTTTGCTTCTCCAGTCATTTAAGCCGCAAAGCACAATGGGAGTTAGATACTGCTGAGCCACCCTGAGGAATCCCTGTCTCCTGGCCTACACAGTGCATGGTGTATGTCCCTCCTGGGTTAGCCTGCAGCTTCGCAGGGGGTTAAGGATCTCAGTGGGGCCTCAGGTTTGGCTTTTGGAATCTACATTGGGAGTTCGGTACTAAGGCCGTTTGTGGGTCTGGGCCCTAATCTCCCTGCGCCTCAGCCTCCGTCTATTAATGTCAGTCCCTCACCAGGGTGTTGTGAGGCACCCAGATGCCATGGCAAAATCTAGGTTGGATGTTAGGAAAAACTATTTCCTTAGGAGGGTGGGGAAGCACGGGGATGGGTTCCCTAGGGAGGGGGTGGAATCTCCATCCCTAGGGCTGTGTCTACACTGGGCCACTTATTCCAGAAAATCAGCCGCTTTTCTGGAATAAGCTGCGAGCTGTCTACACTGGCCCTTGAATTTCTGGAAAAGCAACGATGCTCTACTGTACAAAATCAGCCGCTATTCCGGAAAAGTTACGTTGCTCCCGCTCGGGCATAAGTCCTTATTCCGGAACACTGTTCCGGAAAAGGGCCAGTGTAGACAGCCCAGTAGTCTTTTCCGGAAAAAAGCCCCGATCGCGAAAATGACGATCGGGGCTCTTTTCCAGAAAAGCGTGCCTACATTGGCCACAGATGCTTTTCCAGAAAAAGGGCTTTTCCGGAAAAGCAGCCTGCCAATTTTTCCGGAAATACTTATAACGAAAACTATTCTGTTTTAAGCATTTCCGGAAATTCATGCCAGTGTAGACACAGCCTAGAGGTTTTGAAGTCCCAGCTTGACAAAGCCCTGGCGGGGATGATTGAGGTGGGGTTGGTCCTGCTGTGGGCAGGGGGACTCGGTGACTCCTGAGGGCTCCTCCAGCCCTCGGAGTCTAGGATTCTATGTAACTTCCCTGGGCAGCGTCCCTCTACGCTGCAGGGCCGCCCAGCTTCACCGGTGATTAATCAGCCCCACCCGGTCAGTCAGCTCCCAGCACTGAGCCCTGAGAAGTTGTTCTCCCCCCCCTCCCCCAGCTTAGCGGGAACCCTGCCCGTAGGCCCCCTTCCCTCCATAGTTAAGAGGCAGCTCAGTTTCCATTTTAAGCCTCTGAGGTCCCGTAACATTCATTGCAGAGGTGGGGCAGAGGGGGAGATGAAACCCAGTGGAGCTTCAGTTTGGGAGACTGTTGTGCAGAAGACTCCCTCCCCACTCCCGTCTCCTCCCCAGATGCACACCATGTTCTGGGATTCGGACCACCCTAGCTGTGCCCTTGTTGCGTCAGGGATGGGCTCCACTGGATTGGCAAGCCGGTGGCGGGAGAGGGTCTGCACCCATCCTGTCCCAGACAGCCATGTGCACTAGCCCAGTGTTTCTCAACCAGTGGTACGAGAACCCTTAGGGGTACTCGAGAGAAGTTGGGGGGGGGGGCGGGTATATCAACACAACTGAAATTTGGACAAAACAGAATTTTTTATTAAAATTTTACAGCGTTTTGTTATTTTTGTACTTTTTACACCCAAAAATTTCATCGCCTGCTTTTGTTTAAACAAACGTATTGCAATGGTAGAAAACTGGAAGTACTGGAGGTACTTATTTTTTTTTTTTAAAGGGGTACGTTATAAAAAAAGGTTGAGAGAGACTGCACTAGCCTCTGGGAGGTACTTATTTTTTTTTAAAGGGGTACATTATAAAAAAAGGTTGAGAGACACTGCACTAGCCTTTTTGCAGTCAGCACAGGGACCCTTCCTGCCCCGTGTCCGAGGTGCATATAATGATGCATATTTATTTCTGTTTCTTTTTCAGAGAAACTTGCAGCAGAACTTAGTAAGTCTCATACCCTTTCCTTCTAAAATAGTATATTGCCCATAAATGTGTATACTCACAGGTGTGTTTGTTTGCTTGTTTAGAATAGTATTGTTTAATTTAACTATATTTTAACGTGGATTAATATTAAGCATGAGAACATTTTACACTGAGAGTAATTTTTAAAATGCTTCAGTTCTTTGAGTAGAAAGGCCCAGTTAGCCCCAACTTTAGTACCAACAATGTGATCTAATAAAGGTAGGAGATGCCACCTGTGATATGAAGGATATAATGTTATTACCTGTGACTTCAAACAGACTAGGATCTAGCTTCTGTTAAGAGTTTTGCCGTAGAATTTCAGTGCATCAGCAGGGTTATAATTTAACACCTATTCATATGCTCCGCGTGAAGTTGTATAATGAAACCTGTCAGCGTCAATATAGCCTCTGAGAGCCGACTGGATGCCGAAAAAAAAATGAGAAAATCTCACAGACGTATGTCAATTATGCCAATATTTATTTTTTTCCCCAAATTGAAATGTTTTGTTTTGGGTTGGGTCAATATTAACCTATGACCGCCTGAGCCATCACCATACTCACTGGAAGTTGCAGTTGGAAAAAAATCCATACCACCTCTTTTGTATCTCATGGTGGGGAGAAGGAGTGAAGTTGTGCTTTGGTCAGAGACCTTTTAGTGTTTCTTTTCCCTTCCTCCTCAGCTCCCTCCCCCTTCCCGACTGACACTTCACCTCATATTGAGAGAGCAGTTGAGGCAGGATTGTCCTTCAAGTGTCGACTCATACATTAAACTCCTACTCTGTCCTGAAACACTTTATCTTTTTTCCCCCATCTGCGTGTGGGCAGACGTAACACACAATATCCTCTCCCATTGACAAGCACAGTATGTCTTGCAGGCTCAGATTCATGTCAGCCCAGCCCAAAACGGCATGTTTCCTGTCAGGGTCAAACATTTCATTTTGAGTCTGGAATTTTAATCTCTTTTGTCCTGCAAGAAGTGCTGATATTTCAACATTTTGCTCTGATTCAGGACAATAAAAAGGACGAAAAAGCAGAACTTCCCTCATGAACTACATTCTGTTTTAAAAATCGGCTCAGCTCTTCATACTGTGGTAACAGTTTACTAGGGTTAAGAACTCAATTCCCTTCCACGCCACAGTTTTGTATAACGTTGAGTCCTGTTTATACAGTATTTGTTCAGTTTCTCACCTCTTGTTCTGTGGTTGCTTTCAGGATGGAGAAGAGCCCTCACACATCCAGGTAAATGAGGGTCATTTACTACCATTGTCCAAATCCCATCATCCATGAGGCAATGCAACTTCTTTTCCTCGGACATGTGAATGGAGCAGGGGCTTGAGAGTTTAGGGCAGAGCTCACTCCTAATCTGTGTTTCACAGGGCACTGGGGAGAGGCAGATGTTGTAGCTCAGTTGCTGTGTCTAGACTGGCCAGTTTTTCCGGAAAATCAGCCGCTTTTCTGGAAAAACTTGCCAGCTGTCTACACTGGCCGCTTGAATTTCCGCAAAAGCACTGACTTCCTACTGTCTGAAATCAGTGCTTTTTGCGGAAATACTATGCTGCTCCCGTTTGAGCAAAAGTCCCTTTTGCGCAAAACTTTAGCGCAAAAGGGCCAGTGTAGACAGCTGAGATTTGTTTTGCACAAAAAAGCCCCGATCACGAAAATGGCAATCGGTGCTTTTTTGTGGAAAATCACGTCTTGATTGGCCACAGACGCTTTTCCACAAAAAGTGCTTTTGTGGAAAAGCGTCCGTGCCAATCTAGATGCTCTTTTCCGAAAATGCTTTTAACGGAAAACTTTTCCGTTAAAAGCATTTCCGGAAAATCATGCCAGTCTAGACGTAACCAATATGTCTAGAACCTTGGTTGTCAAAGTGCGGGTCCTGACCCAGTCCTAGGTCACGGATTGTAAGGTGCTAGGTCGCCTTGCTCGGCACCCAGGGACCCAGCTGGCCAGCTAAGGCTGGGCCAAAACCCATGCTTTGAAAACCCCTGGCCAATCCCTGCTTCTTCTGACACTGTGCTGCACCCTGGAAGTGGCCAGCAGCAGGCCCGGCTCCTAGGCATCATGGGCACAGGGTTCCCCGCACAGCCCCTGCCCTGAGCACCGCCTCCACACCAGAAACCAGGCCATGAGCACTGGGGTGGGTCAGTGCCGGCAGGTGAGAGCCGTGTATAGCTGCTTGCATGCCTCCATCTACGATCCAGACCTATTGCTGGCTGTTTCTGGGGTGCAGAGTGGACCATGGTTCCAAGACAGGCAAGAAGCTGCCTTCAAACCTCAGCCCTGAACCTCCCCAAACCCAGAGTCTTCTGCACCCTAAATCCCTCACCCATAGCTCCATCTCATAGCCTGCATCACCAGCCCTGACCCCATCCTGCACCCCAAAGCCCAGCGACCCTCGTACGCCCATCCCCACCCCACAGCCCTCACCTCTGCACCCCAACCCTCTGCCCCAGCCCTCAGCCCCCTCCTGCACTCCAAAGCCCTTCTCCCCAGCTCCGCTGGGTTTCAGGTACCAACCATTTTCTAAAATTGGGTCACCAGAAAGAAAGTTTGAAAAGCCACTGGCCTAGATGTCACAGCAACTCTTCCTCCTTTCTTCACCCATCTGGCTGGCATTGCCCTATTCCGGCCCACAGCCATGCCCACATCACAACCAGGGCTGGCTTTACCATGAGGCAAACTGAGGCAGCCACCTCAGGTGCCCGACTGTGGGGGGAGGGCTCCCCTAGGACCCAGAGTGTAGAAAATTGTGTCTTCTGCTGGTGCATCGAGGGGACATGAGGGCGTCGTTTGAGCTCCCCGCTTCAGGTGCCAAAATGTTGTGGGCCAGCTCTGATCACAACGCCCAGCTTTAGGTACCCAGACTATTGCAGGAAACCACAGAGTTATGGGCCCAGGCTCCCTGGACCGTGACTGGGGAGATGGGCACCAGGCCCAGCGGCAGTGAGGTGCCTCAGTCTGCTTTTGAGCTTCAGCCTGGAGGGCCTCTCCTGCAGTCAGGTTACCTAAACCACTTCTTGTGAGCCAGAGCTGGGCGCCTGCTCTGCCCCGTATCAAACAGCCGGAGGGAGAAGCTGCTCCTTGGAACTTTTAGCCCCATGGGTAGGGCACTTGCATGAGATATTATTCAAGTCCCCCGGATAGGTCTAGGCATGGTACTTTCAGAAAGATTGGAAGCCTACCCTCTATCTCAGGGGTGGGCAATAATTTTTAATGGGGGGGGCACTCCAAGTGATCAAGGGCTGCAATTCTATGTAGGGTGTGTGTGGTCTGGGATGGCAGGTGGGGTGCAGAAGAGAGCTTGGGATAAAGGGCTGGGGTGCGGGAGACGGTATGGGGTCTGAGAAGGCGTTTGGGTGAAGGATGGGGTTGCGACCCGGAGCAGAGGCTTGGGGTGCAGGAGGGAGGATGGGTGCAGGAGAGGATTCTGGGATGGGGGATGGGTGTAGGAGGGGGTGCAGGGTCTGGGAGGGAGTTGTGACCTGGAGGAGGTAAGGGGAGGGGATACAGAGGGTTTGGTAGTGACCAGGGGCGGGTCGTTGGGGGCAGAGGGGTGTGTGAGGCACTTACTTAGGCACCTCCCAGCCAGCAGCCCTGCAGGAACCAGAGACAGGCTGGCTGCCTCTTCTGGCTGGCTGCTTCACGTGGCTCTGCTCCAGCACGAGGAGCGGGAATGAGGGAGGGAGGAGGATTCGTTGGCTACCCCTGCCTCTAGCAAAATTTCTCAGCGCCTATTGGCCCAAAACTGGCCAATGGGAGCGGAGGGATTTTGGTAGGGGGTGGAGACAGCGCGTGAAGCCTCCCCAGCATCCAGAGGAATTAGCAGTGGGCTGTTTAAAGCGGCCTGAGCTGCTGTGCCGTGAGAATGCCGGCCTGTTAGCGCAGGGGTGGGCAAGAGGCAGCTATCTAGTGTGGAGAAGGGATCTGAACAGGTGTTTCCCATCTGTCAGGGGAGTGCCTGAACCACTGACCTACACAGGGAGCTTCACTCCTTCCCGGGCCCAATATGGGACATTCGAACAGGGGGAGTCAGTTATTCAATTGCAATTGAACATGTCCAGCAGGACAGATGCCCACCTGTTAGAATGTCCCGTATTTCAGTGAGGTCGGAGATCTCCATTCAAATCCTTCCCCTCATGAGGTAGAAGGGGGACTTGAACCAGACACCTCCTGTATCCTGGGGAGTACCTAATCACTGGGCCAAAGGCTGTAACTTTACAGCAGGACCAAGTACCATCTCTGACAAATTTTTGCCCCAAATCCCTAAATGGCCTCCACAAGGATTGAACTCACACCCCTGAGTTTAACAGGCCAATGATCAAACCACTGAGCTCCCCCCCAGAGCCTTGTAGCTGCCCCCCGGGAGCCTCCTGCTTGTGGTACAGGGTGTGGGGGAGGGAAAAGAGGGGTGCTGATGTCAGGGTGTCCCTCCTCCCTCCACTCCTGTACCCTGTCTCCACACAGAGAGAAGGGGCTGGAGGGAGCTTGGCCGTGCGAATCTGTCACTCTCTCGCGCTGTGCGTGTCTCTCGTTCTCACACACACACAAACTGTCCTGCACTCTTATCTGCTGATTCAACACATACATGGGGGGAGGGGGGTTGTTGTTACTTCTGCTGCTGCTTGAAAAGTGGGTTAGTTTGGTTGGTGACTGGTCTGTGCATTTCATCATTTTCATTTCTCTCTTGCGCTTCAATTTTATTCTTTGAGGCGTGAGTTCTAAAATGCCGAGCCTCTCATGGCTGGAGTCATTATCCCGGTGGGAACTGCTGCTCCTGGAAGTGGCTGACATGTCCCTGCAGCCCCTGAGAAAGACAGAGCAGGGGGTCTCCACATGCCGCCCTTGCCTGCAGACACCGCTCCTGCAGCTCCCATGGATCAGTAACGGGGAGCCGTAGCCAGTAGAAGCTGTGGGCTCGGTGCCTGTAGATGAGGGGCGGCACACGGCCCCACAGAGCCATTGCTGTACAAGCCAGCTGCTTCCAAGAGGGGTGCAGGGCCAGAGCAGGAGTGAGCTGCCTTATCTACACAGTTCCACCACCCGGAAGCCATCTGAGTTAAGCAGTGCCCAGCCAGAGCCTGCTTCCTGAACCCCTGCCCCAGCCCTGAACCTCCTCCTGCACCCAACCTACCGGCCCAGCCATGAGTCCCCCTGCAGCCAAACTCCTTCCCAGAGCTTGCACCCTGAAACCCCTCCTGGATGCCATTATCCCACCACCCTGGGTTAAACCCAGAGCCCCGCCCACACACCGAAACCCTTGGCCCAAGTCCAGAGCCTGCACCCAACCCCCTACCCCAGCCTGGTGCCAGTGAGTGAGGAAGGGGGATGGAGTGAGCAGGGTGAGGCCTCGGAGAAGGGGCGGGAAGGAGGCGGGGGAAGGGTTGGAGGTAGATCTTACATCGCTCTTCAGCTGAAAAACGGATCTTGTGGTTCAAAGGGTTGGAGGCCCCTGCTGTAAGGAAACACCTTCCCTTGCACCCAACCTACCGGCCACACAGATGAGAAAGGGATTTCTCAGCCTGCGGCGTGGACTGTGGTGGGGTGTAGGTGGGAGAGGGGCCGCAGTCTGCCTGCCCGGGGTAGCACTGTAGGGGCTGCCGAATAAATTTAGTCACCTACATGGCTAGGCAGCAGGCAAGCTGGAGTTTTGTGCATGAAAGTGGCACAAAAAAATGTCACTTCAGCACCTACATCCAGAGTAGATGCTTTGTGTTCTTCCTAAAAGCTATTAGCCTTCCTGGGTTGCCACTCTCCTGTCTGGACTGACTGGATGCTATTTGAGGCAATGGCATCTGGTCTGGGAGAGTTAGCAACCCTAATCCTTCCTTGTCTCTTCGCTCAGAGGCTCCTAATGCAGTCCAGGTCAGTGGCATAGTGAGGGGTGGGCGGTAGGGGGGGGAAGTAGCTGCCCCTGGGTGCCATGCTAGGGGGGCACCAATTTAGTCCCCCTCTTCTCCCCCTGTCATCCCTCGGCTCGCCTGCTCCTCCTCCACCCACTGCCACCAGCTGGAGCCACCTCCTCCCTGCCTTTCTGCCCCCAGCCCGACCCGCCTCCATCTCCGTTGGCAGGTTGGTGCATGAGGGGGCCTGGCCCCAAATTGGAGGGGGCAGGGGAAGATGTGGTACAAGCTCCTCCGCCCTCCTCCCAGGGTTGGGGTCAGCCGTGCACTAGGTTTGGGGCCCTGCTGCATGGCAAGGGGGGGGGGGCCGCAAATTTTGCCTTTGCCCCAGGGTGCATAACACCCTTGCTACGCCTCTGGTCCGAGCCAAAATAGAGAGCGATCAGGTTAAAGAATATTTAGGTCACTTAAATGTCAGCATGATCTGATGAAATTCCTCCCAAGTTCTTAGGGAGCTAGCTGAAGCAATCTCAGAACCACTGGTGGTTACCTGTGAGAACTCACGGAGAAGCGGTAACGTCTCAGAGGGCTGGAGAAGGGCGAACAGGACACATATCTTTAAAAGCGGAAACAAAGAGAACCCAGGGGACTGAAGACCACTCAGCCCAACTTTGATACCTGGAAAGATACTGGAACAAATTATTAAACAATCAACATTTAGAGCAGACACTGTGGGGCGCCCCACACAGGCTCCCCACTTGCCTCACCCCACCTGCATGCCACTCAGAAACATGGCTGCAGGGCAGTTTCACTTTAAAAACTGAGGGGGGAGGGAGCTTTAGGAACTGCTCCCACCCCCAGCATAATCCCATTGGCTGGTTTCTGGGAGCTGCCTGTTTCAATAACAGGCAGCCACAAAGCACAAGGGGCTCCAGAGCACATGGCTGCAGCCTGGGCGGGGGAGGGGCAGGCAGCAGTGCTCCCTCTAAGCAGAGCTTCAGCCCCGCCCAGTCAGAGGCTCAGGGTTTTATGCACAGAGCTGACTGACAGGGCAGGGCTGATTAATCACCCGTGAAGCTGGGCTGGCATGCAGTGCAGAGGGAGCACTGGCAGGCAGAGAGGCTGATTCAGGAATGGGCTGTTGACTGGTAAGTCTCCAGGCCAGACCCTGCCTCTGGCATCCCAGACCCTCCCTTCACCAACCCTCTGCCCCCCACTCTTGCCCCCTCCTCCACATACCCAATCCTCTGCCCCCATATCCCATCCCAGATCTGGCACCCCAATCCCCTGTCCCAGATCACAGTCCCCTCCTGTCCTAGCTCACAACCTAAATACCTGTGCCCCCCTCCTGTACTCCAGTTCCCTGCCCTATATCACAATCCAACTCTCTGCACCCCACTCCAGTGCCCCAGGTCACAACTACTTCCCTCACCCAAACTCCCTCTCTTACCCCAAGCTCCCTTCTGCACCCAACCTCCATCCCAGACCCCCACATTTCCTCCATTGATATCATGGAAGAGTGTGGCCCTCGACCACATTCCAAATTCTTGGAGTGCTCCCCCCATCAAATATTATTGCCCACCCCTGACCTAGAGGATAATAGGTTGATAAGTAATAGCCAACATGGATTTGTGAAGAGCAAATCATCCCAAAGCAACTACTTTCTTTGACAGGATTACTGGGCTAATAGGCATGGAGGATGCAGCGGATGTGATGTATCTTGCTTTTAGTGAGTTGAGACAGTCCTACTGGGCATTCTCATAAGCAAACTAGGAAAATTTGGTCTAGATGAAATTACTATAATGTGGGTGCAAAACTGGTTTGAAAGGTTATATTCCAAAAGTAGCTCTCGAAGGCTCAGTGAAAAACTGGGGGACAGATCTAGTGGGGTCCCATGGGGGTCTGCCCAGTGCTCATTGCTATTAATATCTTTATCAAGTAGAGGGAGTAGAGGACCTGCTTACAAAATCTGTGGATGACACCAAGTTGTGAGCATTTTAGAAGACGGGCTTAGGACCGTGGCAAACTGGTCTAAAACCAGAAAGAAGAAAGTCAATAAAAACAAGTGCAAACTACTACGCCTAGGAAAGAAAGGTTGACCACACAGCTACAAAATGGGGACTAACTGGCCAAGCAGCAGAAAAGGATCTGGGGGTTAGAGTGGATCACAAATTATATCTGAGTCAGCAGTGTAATACTGTTGCAAAGAAGTGTATAATAATGGTGGTGTCCTGTCAAGGATGTTGCACGTATGATGTGGGTGGTAATTGTCCTCATCTACTTGACATTGGTGAGGCCTCAGCTGAAGTCCTGACTCCTGAGTCTAGTTCTGGGCACTATACTTTAAGAAAGCTGTGGACAAATTGGAAAGAGCCTAGAGGAGAGCTATAAACCTGGCGAAAGATTTAGAAAAATTGGACTGATGAGGAAAGGTTAAAAAAATAGGGCATGTATAGCCTTAAGAAAAGAAGACTGAGGAGGGATCTGATAAGTCTCCAGATTTGTTAAGGGCTGTGATGAAAAGAACCGGGGTCAATTTTCTCCTTTAAATAAGACAAAAAATAACAAGGTTAATCTGCAAGAATGTAGATTTAGATTAGCCATTAGGGAAAACTCGCAAATGCTTTTAACGGAAAAGTTTTCTGTTAAAAGCATTTGTGGAAAAGAGCGTGTCTAGATTGGCACGGACGCTTTTCCGCAAAAGCTCTTTTTGCGGAAAAGCGTCCGTGCCCATCTAGACGCGCTTTTCCGCAAAAAAGCCCCGATCGCCATTTTCGCCATCGGGGCTTTTTTGCGGAAAACAAATCTGAGCTGTCTACACTGGCCCTTTTGCGCAAAAGCATTGCGCAAAAGGGACTTTTGCCTGAACAGGGGCAGAATAGTATTTCCGCAAGAAGCACTGATTTCTTACAGTAGGAAGTCAGTGCTTTTGCGGAAATTCAAGCGGCCAGTGTAAACAGCTGGCAAGTTTTTCCAGAAAAGTGGCTGATTTTCCGGAAAAACTGGCCAGTCTAGACACAGCCTCCAAGTATAAGGATGCGTCTACACTGCAGTACTTAACTCGAAATAAGCTACGCAAATTGAGCTATGTCAATTGCATATTTTATGTCAAAATATCGTATTTTGGAACTGGGAGCATCTGCACAGCATTTATTTAGAAACAAAGCACTCTTCTTCCGACTTCCCTCACTCCTCGTACAATGAAGGTTACAGGAGTCGGAGTAAGAAGTCCTCCAGCTTGACAGGAATTTGACACTATTTTGAAATAACTGCCTGCTGTGTAGACACAGATTGTTATTTCAGAATACCGCTAAATAGAGTTGCAGTGTAGACATATCCTTAGAATGGCTCGGAGGAGGGGCTATTTCGAAATAGCAGCAGTGGAACGTCTACACACACCCTATTTCAAAATAGATATTTCAGAAGAGACATTATTCCTAATGAAGTGAGGTTTACAGAAGTCGGAATAAGCCATCCATTATTTTTCAGTAACAGAATGGCTGCGTAGACACTCGCATTGTTATTTCAGAATAACGCTAGTTATCTCGAAATAATGGTGCAGTGAAGATGCACCCTCTGACCTCCATCCAGCTTCAGGCTCACGCTCTGATTCTCTCTCCCCAGCGCCTGTGACCCTGGACCCAGACACGGCTCATCCCCAGCTCATCCTGTCTGAGGATGGAAAACGTGTGAGATGGGGAGACACACGGCAGCGGCTGCTCGACAATCCCAAGCTTCGAACGAGCGGGGTAGTGTAGACATACCCTTACAGACTAGGAGCCAGTGCTGGGGGGTGGCGGTGGGGGGTGGGAAGGGATGGGCTGTGGGGGTGGCCAAAGAGTCTGTGAAGAGGACGGGATGGGTCAAGCGTAATCCTGAGGAGGGGATCTGGGCCGTGGATTACGACTGGGGGGGCCAGTTCCGGGCTCTAACCTCTCCTAGGACTTGCTTGCCTTTGAGTGAGGCCCTCCGGAAGCTTGGGATTTATCTGGACTATGAACGGGGGCAGGTGACCTTTTTTGATGCGGATAAGGAGGCCCTGATCTTCACTTTCCCAAAGGCCTCTTTCAATGGGGAGAGAGTCTTCCCCTTACTTTGGCTGTGGGACACTGACTCGGAGCTCAGGCTGGGCGCCTGAGTTGGGTGGTAGATGGCAGATCAGCCATTAAATGAGGCCTCCGACATCCCAATGTCTATGCCTTTGGAGACTGAACGTGTCTCAAAATCAGGCGCAATGAACAGGCTGTTGAATTCTGTGGCACCAGGTAGTACAATGAAGGCCTGAAACAGATGCCCATGTATCACCAGCCCGGTGTGAGGCCTGAGGCCTCAACAGAAATGGGCAAGACTTTGCTAGTAGAAAGCAAAGTGAAGCTGTGAGCAAGAGGCAGGCCCTGCTGACAGAAGTTGGCAAGAACAGGACGGATATTACAGAAACGCTCCTGCCGAAGAGGACCTAGGCACAGGCCATGAGCACAAGCCAGAGAGGTGGTAACAGAACACCTCATGAAGAAACACCTTGGTATCTAGACTGCCATTTTTCTTTTGCAAAAACTCTGGTTCGAAAAAAGCGGTGGCCATGTTTATGCTAATGAAGCACGGGATATTTAAATCCCGGCTTCATTAGCAATTTCAATGTGCCTAATCTACATCTCTCTGTTGACAGAGGGATGCAGTCTAGATATAGCCCCATAGAGACTGTCCAGTTTGGCCAATGTACATGGCAGAGAAGCATTGCTGGCATTTGATGGCAAAGATCACATTAATCCAGGGCTACTCAACATGCGGCCTGCAGGTGGGATCCTTTGAACGTGGCCTCCAGTGGGAACACGCTTCACGACGGCGAGTCAATGTAATCGTCTTCTGCTGAGATGCGTTTTAGTAGTTAAATTCCTGGACTGTCATTGCTCATGAAAAGTGCTGTCATATGGGTGGAAATCAGGTAACTGTTTCATTTTATAAATATCAGTAGAACTGACTTAAATGGGGCCTGTGTGTTGTGTAATCTTGCCTTTGTATTCATACCCATCAGTGTGAAAGAAGCTATTTGCATATATTTGCATATATATTTGCATGTACATGTAACCTCACTTAAGTTGCGGCCCCCGGCATGTGCTGTATCATTGTGGCCCTCGGGGCTTCCAAAGTTGAGTCGCCCTGCATTAGTGGATGTGCAGTTACATGAGCCTCTGATGTGGTTGGGCCCAGTGATGAAATCGCTTGAGTAGACGTGTGATTCCATTCCCAGGCACTTGGCATTGGAAAGACATTTCTGCCTCATCATAATGCTCCAGCATGAGAGAGGTGAGGGTGGTGGATGGGTACCCACTGGGGGATGTTACCCTGGGGTGTGTCCTTCCAAGGCAGATTTGGGGCCTCTTCAGACAGGCAGAAGGCAAACTGGGAGGATCTACAGCACAGCTGTTTCCCAGGATGGTGCGTGTCCCCCAGGACAATGCTGCTCCAAACTAGAGCTTCACCTTTGCTTTAAATTCTGGTTTATAGCCCCTACGGGGAAGCACAAAGGGCATAAAGAGTCATAGTCTTTAATCCTGCTCGTGGTCAGGTTAACGAGATCACAAGCTGCCATAAAGGAGGGCGTGGTGGAAAACAACCCTGGCCTGCCGTAGCCCATGTGGCCAAGAATAGCCAGATGGAACGTCTCGGTGCCCTCATGTGGGACACGACTTCCTGTGTGGTTTCAAACGTGCAAGCCATCAAACTCTGCTCTACAGGAGACTCTCCGTTGCCCTTTTTCCGCGGCGATGCAAAGGCCCCGTTCTGCAGCCTGTTTGCCCGTCGGAGCCCCCGCCAGCGGCGGGGGGAGCCGTCAGCTCATGCAGCACCTTGAACTTGACATTTGCCAGGCCCTCAGCACGCTGGCAGGTAACGCGGCTAGTGACTTACACAGGGGTATAAACAGGGCCGTTACTAAACCATTGGCGGCCCTGGGTGATCGCCTGACTTGCCCAAAGGGTTGCCAGATGGTTTAAAAAAAAAATACCGGACCAAAATTTGTGGGGGGGGGCTGGGAGAAACCTGGCGGGAGGATTTGGGAGGGTATTTAGGCTCCTAACTTACATGGAAATCAATGCCTTTGGGCACTTGAGCCTTTTGAGCAGCTTAGGGAACTTCCCAGGGGGGAGACTCTGTCTGCAGGGTTTCCAGAATTGAGTCACTGCTGGCAGAGGCTCACGGCACCTGTTACACCAGTACCGCTAAATGCAGCTCTTGTCTTGACCCCGTCTTGGCTCCACCGTGTTGCGCGACAGACACGTGGCAACATTTCCAGGTGTTGTGATGGACATGGGGGGCCCGTATGTCATTCAGTTTTTAAGAAACAACCGCAGGCCTCAAAAAGTGTCCCCATGGACGGTTGTTGCGGTTGTGTCTGAGAGGTGAAATGGTGTAAAAACGAACACGGGCTGCGTGGACGTGATGGTGGTGGACTCCACAAAACCGGAGCAATAAGGTGATACTAAGCAAGGGGGAGAGATAGATACGCGGGAGGACAGGGATAGAGGCCACAGTGACCTGGACACATTAGAGGATTGGGCCAGAAGAAATCTGATGAGGTTCAAAAAGGACAAGTGTAGAGTCCTGCACATGGGACGGAAGAATCCCAAGCATTGTTACAGGCTGGGGACCGATTGGCTAAAGAGTAGTTCTGCAGAAAAGGACCTGGGGATTACAGTGGATGAGAAGCTGGGTATGAGTTAACAGTGTGCCCTTGTAGCCAAGAAGGTTAACGGCATATTAGGGTGCATTAGGAGGAGCATTGCCAGCAGATCTAGAGAAGGGATTAATCCCCTTAATTTGGCTCTGGTGAGGCCACATCTGGGCTATTGTGTTCAGTTCTGGTCCCCCAACTATAGGAAGGATATGGACGCATTGGAGAGGGTCCAGTGGAGGGTGACCAAATGATAAGGGGGCAGGAGTGCATGACCTATGAGGAGAGGCTGAGGGATTTGGGTTTGTTTAGTCTTCAGAACAGAAGAGTGAGGGGGGATTTGATAGCAGCCTTCAACTTCCTGAAGGGGGGTTCCAAAGAGGCTGGAGAAAGGCTGTTCACAGTAGTGAGGGATGGTAGAACAAGGAGCAATGGTCTCAAGTTACAGTGGGAGAGGTCTAGGTTGGAGATTAGGAAAAACTATTTCCCTAGGAGGGTGGTGAAGCACTGGGATGGGTTCCCTAGGGAGGGGGTGGAATCTCCGTCCCTAGAGGTGTTTAAGTCTCGACTTGACAAAGCCCTGGCTGGGTTGATTTAATTGGGATTGGTCCTGCCTAGAGCAGGGGGCTGGACTTGATGATCTCTTGAGATCTCTTCCAGCTCTATGATTCTAAGGTGACCCCAAGCATCGAGCTCTCAGCGCATTCTAGAGGGCTGTGAAGGGGGAATGACTACAGATTAAGCTGTTCGATGTAACAGCTGCCAAAGGGGGGGCTTTGGGAACTGCTTTTATTCATTAGCTATCAGCCCATTGGTCATCAAACCACCATGACAAGGTCAAATTGGGCCCAACATTTGCATGCTGTCGACTTTGTGCCTTTTTATTAGATGCTAACTCAACAAAGCATCTGGACGTTCACTGGATCTGAGCCCTCCATTGAAACCTTGGGCTGCTGTGAACAGCTGTAGTATATTCACCCTGTGCTGGGCAGTGAGGGATTCCCCTGGGGGGACTTCACTGCATGAGGAGTGCTGAGGGTATTGTGATAAGCAAGGCAGGGAGAAATTAGCTACTCGCTTGCACTGCAGACTATGGCCGGACTAAGAATGGGGCAAGCAACATGTTTTGATGCTGCAAAATTCCACCTTCCACTTTCACGCCATTTTCTTTTAATGGAGAGATAATTCTCCCTTCTTTCTGGCCGGGCAGAGGATCTCAGCTTGAAATGAGACTGGGCAGCAGAGTGAAATAGTAAAAGGGCTCTGACAAGGATTTCTCCTGCCTCTTGTTATGTGAAAAGGCAAAACACTATGTCTATTGAGAATACAATATAAAAGCCAGTAGTGTATGCTGACACACACACACAAACACACACGTGCCCTGCTGCCAGTTGGCGACTGAGGCACCAGTACAGTGGCAGGACGAACCCCAAAATTATGGCAAAAGAGCTCCTTGTTAAAGTCGTTTTCCTTCATTGGGATCTGTGAGTTTCACACCATCATGCTGTGATCAATCGTGTTTGAGGAGTTCCTGTTTTGTTAAATCGTTCTTCTCCTACCGCAGCTGTCGTGTCCCTGTTGGTAGGTACTTGCCTTATCTTTTAGAGTGGTCAGTCTGACCTTTATCCGCATCTCAATAGGGGTGTACAGCAGTCTCTTGCTGATGCGTCAGTTTCGGCTTCTCACTAAAACATCTGGTCCAGTGATGGCCTTCACACTTATCATCTGACATACATTCCTCATTCATGCACACAAAACAGAACTGATTTCCTGGTTACACAGACACAATATGAATATTGAAACAGGAACATCAAATTACAAAAAAAAAAAAAAAAAAAGAGAGAGAGAGAGAGAGAGAGAGAGAGAAAACAATCATCATACCCTTTTACTTATTTTCTCAATACTCATTTTAAAACTTAAATAGAAAATCATAAGAATTTATTCCTGCCTTGGAATCAGCTTCAGACACAAACTTCTGCCTGGTGCGCCTTTACAAATGGTAAGGTAAAGTTCCTTTCTGCTTTCAGAAAGGGTGGCTGGCAGGGTGTGAAACATAATCGTAATCATAAAACACACAAT